GTGATTGACTCAACTTATTGTGGCTTCCTTAGCTATGTAGGCTACCAAAGAAACTGATAGTCTGTGTAATGATTTGCGTGCCTTATTTTTTGGTGAAGGGTTGTACGGAATTGTCCACTGGCCTTGTCAATTTCAAGAAATCATACTTGTTCACTATGCTTGCAAATTCAGTCCCATTTTTATTTTCTTTTTGAGCAACCAAGTCATACTGTCTTTACCGACAGTATTGGATATAATTGTAGGTATACTCTATTCGAGATGCAGCTGCTAATAATGTGAAACGCTTGGCAGAAGAATTTGGACCAGAATGGGCAATGCAGCACATTATTCCTCAGGTCTGTTTTTGACATTTTCCTGCCGATGTATATCTTAGTTTCTTGATATGCATTAGTATAATATTTCACCTTCACAGTAAAAGAATTTAAATATTGCCATGGTATCTGGTGTTCGATAGGCTACTATGGGGGTGGGGAACTCTTGTCCAAAGCCATGGTATCTGGTATTGAACAATCCATGTTATAAATGTGAGACTTGGTCATTTCATATTATCCCGCTCCTTTAGTACTCCTTTGGCCATCCCATATTATCTGATGAGACTGGTCATTTCATCCCACCTTTAGTCCTGGTCAGTTGGTTGCCCTTGGAAAGTTGACGTCCTGACAGTTATACTGTGACATTTCACTTGGCATTCCACCACTCAACTCTTCATAAGCACTCCTTTATGGAGTTATTGACCTTTAGCTTGACACCAATTGATGGGCCGGGAATCCTTTCCCAAAAGCTAATTGTTGATGTGGACAAACCATGCTATTCATGTCCTGTTTCCTGGCTAGTTTTCTTTCTTGCCTTTAGACATAGCGGATTCAATTTAATAACTAATCCTCTACAAGCCATAGAGTCATTTGCTTTAGGGAAATGCTACTGCCTTGAGGAAGCTGCTGTCCGACTATTTTTTCAAATGCTTAGAGAACAGTTGTACGTTGTACCTACTATTGAAAGGTTTTATAGAACAGATAATTAATGCTTATGTTAAAAATAATCGTTTATTTATTTTATTTAAAAAAGAGTTGGGTATTCATTCGAACAACATAATTTACAGGTTCTGGACATGATTAATGATCCACACTATCTGAATCGGATGACCGTTTTGCAAGCAATTTCTCTGCTAGGTCCTGTTTTGGGCTCTGAGATTACCTGTTCTAAACTGCTCCCTCTGGTCATCACTGCATCAAAAGATAGGTAAAACTATTCAAACCTGGGTCTTCTCGCATCTCCATTGGAATCTGTTCTGATCGCTAATCTTACAGGGTTCCCAATATCAAGTTCAATGTTGCAAAAGTGTTGCAGTCTTTTGCTCCAGTTGTTGATCATACTGTAAGTAGTTATTTTAGTTTTTCTCTTTTAGGATACCTCATACCAATGTTATGAATATTTGAATATGCCACTAAGAAAACTTTAGAACTTCTAACTTCATAATTATTTTCCAGTTACAATTTTCACATGACACAAGTATTAAGTTCCTGATTATTCTCAAGTGCTATTCTGTCTATGTTATTTTGAATTGGTTAGTTGTTGAGTTCTCCGCTCTAAGTTTCAAACATCTTGGTTGAATTGCTAAATTTAGCAAATTGACAAGCTAGAACCTAACTTCGCTCTTTGATGAGTGGTAAAAATATGTCAATATCAATTAAACTATGCTTCCGAGACTTCTTCTCTGTAGGGTTGCTAGTGTCATTTTTCATTCTTATGGCAGTTGAAGATTATATTGGAAACCAGTGTTTTAGTCTATTGCTCAACTAGCCGCTGTTTATTGTTAAAAACTGCTGTTGATGCTTACATTTTGAAATTGCTTTTGGGAACAATTAAGGTTCTTGAGCAGACTATACGTCCCTGTTTGGTTGACCTCAGCGAGGATCCAGATGTTGATGTTAGGTTCTTTGCCTCCCAAGCTCTTCAATGTAGCAATGAAATCATGGTATCCAGTTAGATCAATCTGCATATTGTCATAATTTTTCCTCCCTCATGTTTTTTCAAGTTTCTTATGTAACTGGAATCAAGTCAACTTGAAAATTATCACATTGATATTTGTTCTGGGTTGAAATGCGATTATACTAATTGCTATATTGTTCAAACATCACAGAATGTAGAACTGATGAGAAATTTTTGTAGAATGTAGAACTTGAAAATTTTTTTAGAACTGATGAGAAAACAAAGTTGTTTAAGCACAGGGTCTCAGGTTGAATTCGTGTGAATACCAAAAAAAAAAAAAAAAACTGACAAGTGTCAAAAGGCGCTGTCCACTCAACTTTTTTTTTTCTTCCCCGCAATTAAAGTTTGTTTTAAATCTTGTAAATGAAAAAGTGTGCCTGTAGGGGAGTTGCATGTCTATATGGTTGCTCAACCTAACTTAGTTGAGATTCAGATGACTATAAAAAGATTTCAAAAATTTGACATTTTTTTATAATTTTATTAGAAAAAGAATTGTTTCCTAGTAGAAAGTAGCGTTGCTAAGTAATGAGTGTAGCTAAAAAGGGAAAAAAAATTAATGGGTATGTTTTGAATGTTCTTCATTAATAATTTTTATAGAATAAAATTACGCCATTCAAAGAGCTCGAAACTCCCCGTTGGTTTATTATAAACGGATTACGCGCGCATGCATACTCAAATTATAATAAATGTTGAACAATATTGTATTTTGGGCTTGATGTAAAAATAAATAAAAGAGATTTACAGATTACTCCTCAGACCGGAAATTGAAGTAAAAGAAGGGGAAGGAAGTTTTGTGCAGTTTACATGGCAATGTTCTTGCCCATAAAAATATCTACAATTTGATGAGACCTAATATAATTTTTAACAAAGGCTTAAATTGTAAATAATTAATTATTTCAATCTTGTTAGATCTTTTTCCAAATAAAAGTCTTGTTTATTGCATGCATGGGAAATGATAACCACCTCTTAAAGTTGATGGGCTCAAAATCTATGTATAGCAGCATGCAGACGAGATGAAGAACCGCAACCCAAACATTCAAAATGCGCCGTTTTATTTGAGATTCTCTCATAGGTAAGTGATTGGACAGATTATTCTTGTATTCTTGTTAAGCCTCCGCTCTAATCTGATGAGGATGATAACATTTGTTGGAGACGATGGGAAAAACTGTGTCAATTCTGCTTACAAAAAATCCAGCCCATTCCTGAGAATGACAGAGCTCATCCTCCTTGAAAAGATTAAACAAGTCCTTTGGAAACTTGGCCTGAAAAAAATTCCTCGCATACTGATTTCTTCTCAGTCTGCTGGAGTAGATTAGACATAAAAGGAGTGCCTTGGAAAACGTTATTGGCTAATGCCTGCTAGTGATCTTATAAGATAGAAGCAACACATCCATTTCACCCAAGGCCGGTGAAGTTCTCATTTCAGATGTGTACAAAATGTTACAGATAGCTTCATGCAGCAACAAATGATCAGGATTGGAGGAAATATGCTTACACCTACAAACAATTGGAGCCATCCGGGTACAGCTTGGATTTCATTTGGACATTGATGGGTCGATAAACAATATGGATGAGACGGCAATTTGCGGTTTTTTGATTCAAGACTTCCGTGGTAACTGTGTTAAGGGCAATGATTAAAGAACCGGACCGGACCGGACGGTTGGACCGATTGAACCGTCACCCGGACTCGTTAACGGCTCGGTTTGGACCAAAAAACCGTTCGCATAGTTGAGCCAGATTGGACCGGAGTTGAGCCGTTATTAAGCCGGAAACTAGAGTTGGACCGGGAACCGGAACGGTTTTCAGAAAACCGGACAGTTTTTTAGCCTGACTGAAAAATACTAAAAATTTTAAAAAAATAGAGGAAAAATAAAAAAATTGATCCCCTTAAATATCCTAATATATTTTTAGACTAGTTATAACCATATAGTATTATTTCATTGAAAATTTCATATATTGTGATGTTAAAATCGTGAGTCGCTAGTCTTTTTGTTTCGATATTTGATCTATCTTTTAAAAAAATATTTTGATTTGAATGAATTGATAATTTGTAATATCATTAAATATTTTAAACATACAGAAAATTAAATATATAAGGTTTTAGTCCATTTTCAATGATTTTATTATAATTTTAGATTATTTAAATGCATTTCTAAATTATTTAATAATTTGATATTTTTCATATATACTAATTATATGTATATAATATTTTTTAAATTAATTATTGTGTCACCAGTCTGACCGAACGGTCCGACCGATCCGACCGATTGAACCATGACCCGTTGATCTTTCCGGTTTGACTTCCGGTCCGGCTTTTAAAACATTGGTTAAGGGGTTCATGAGAAAGCTACGGAAGCAACATTGAAGCAGAACTTCAGGGCATATCTTGAGGGATGGGGATCTGTTTGATTCAAGACTTCAGGGTCTTGGAAGCATCGTAATCGCCAGTAACTCAGCAGAAACAGTAAATTTGATACTCAGAAAATGTAGCTGGTCTCCCACTTGAAGTTTAACAGACTGACATTAGGAGACTCATGGCATTGAATTGGAATATCAAGCTTGATCATGTTTACCGTGAAGCTAATAGATGCACTAATTGGTTCGCCAAGAATGCCCACAATATTCAGGGACATTGTACTCCTGTCGATGCTCCTCTGATTGTTTAGGATCAGCAAAGCAAGTTTCTTTGTTTGCCTTTTCTCATATATGGCTTTGTCATAGCCATCTCTTCTAAAAAGAAAAATAATCATGGATCCGTTTTCCCTTCCTTTTCTAATATATACCTGAGCTACAGCTGAAGAAAGCAATGTGGTGAGCTAGCGTTGGAGATTCATTACGAGCTCCGCCATCTTTGAATGAAGCCAAACTGAATAGATGCAAAATCCTCAACCTCCAATAAGTTGATTATACAACTAACGACAGTTTTCATGAAACATGAGCATATATACACTCCAATACAGAATTTATTGCAAATGAATATAACACTAATTCTTGACAAGTTTCAATGACCATTTCAGCAAAGGAAGATTTCCGCTTCATATTTAAATAATCATAAATAAGGCAGTTCATCAGCAACAAAAAAAAGTAAACTATGTTAATCATTGGTAAAGAAAATGGCAAATGAGGGGGAAGATAGTAAGAATTCATTAATTCGAGGAAAAAGAAAAATTGAATACAATTAATAAGAGGCTTTTTTGTCCAAGCCATTAAGTAAACTTTCCTTTCTGTGCACGGAATTCTCTGCATCACTAAGGTTCGATCTAGCCAATCTAATGTCATTGATAAGAGATTCTGCATCACTACTCAAACCTTTCCTCCCAACTAAACTCACCCCAAAGTTGTTCAACATTGTTATCCTGTTCTCATCTCCCTTGATCTCACTTAATTCAACAACCCTCTTCTTTGAAACCAAGGCGTAAAGACAAAGGCAGCTAGATTCCAAAAATGATCCTCCAAACTTTACCCTCAGTAATGAACTAGAATCAAAATCATTTTTCTTTGGATTAAACAATGCGGAGAAACTCCCAAATGTCAAGTCAGGTTTCTCAAATAATTTGTTCAAATCATCACTTCCCTCCAAAAGAGTTTTATTTTTGTCAACTGAAACTGAGAGCCTTCTCTTGGCCACTCTCATAATATTTGCAGCCTCTCTCATTCCACTGAGAAACGCACCATGCATTGTTGCAGGATACTGTTTGCTAGTAGCCTCTCCTGCAAAGAACACTCTGCCATCTCCAACGGTCTCTGAAAGGAAATCATAATCATCTCCGGAAGACCCAATAGCAACATAGGAGTATGATCCATATGCGAAATGATCTTTTCCCCACCGAGTACAGACAGCCTGAACAGGATCTGGAACAGCAATTCCCTTAGGATGAAAAATACCCCTTAGAATGTCCATTACCCTTCTCACAGACTCCACTGGTGACATCATTTCAAACCTAATTGCAGCATCCCCAGCGACAAGGGCAACGAGAAGTGGGCCTCCAGAAACTGAAGAGTAACTATAAAATAGAAAAAACTCACCTCTCATACTCAGGTCTTCAGTCAAATGACCAAATGTATCAATGTTTCCACCCCAGAAATTATACGGGAACAGCATTGCAACCTTATTCAGCAGCCCAAAACCCAACCTATGAATTGCATCTTTCTTTCTTTGAGGAAGTTCTGGAACAAACTCTATCGATCCTTTTTTAAGAACTCCTAATGGCACAGTACAGAGGGCCATGTCTCCATAGAACTCTTGTCCATCAGCATATACCAATACCCCATCAGTTCCATATTTGATGCACTCTACAGTTCTTCCATAGAAAATAGGAAGGTCCTCAGCAAGGGCACGGACAAATCTCTCATTACCCCCAGGAATAAAACAATGATCACCACCCATTTCAAAAGGATCATCCTGGTCCCAATAAGCCATTGACAAATTAGACATTAAAGTAGCATTTGCATATTCCAAATTTGCAAGATGCCAATTAAATAGCATACGCTCTTGCGGGTCCTCAGCAACCTTGTAAGCACGCCGAAAAGCTTCGAGTGCAGTCCCTAATGAAACATCCACTGATTTAACTTCCTCAATCATCGCATGCCTAAGCTTACAAACTCTTTCTAACGACTTATTAAACGAAACCTCTATACCAGTATCCATCGCAGAATCCACAGCTTTCCCATCAGGTAAATACAGAGGACATATATCTCTCACCTTGTGCAGAGGCAAACCCATTTGCCTTGCAAGAACACCTAAGGGGTTACCATTTATACCTGTGAGTACACTTCCACCAAGGTCTGCTGCAGCTTCAACGCCATCACCCTTCATCTTCTTCGTCTTCACCCGTCCCCCTGGGCGGGTCCTACCTTCTAAGATCACAACATTGAATCCCATGAACACCAATTGTCTTGCAGCAACCAACCCTGCAAGCCCTGCACCAACGATTATCACATTACCCTTCTCCACACCATCAAAAGACCTCAACTTTGCTTCTTTAATAGCTGGAGCAAGCCCAAAGTTGATGTAACCATGCTCCAAGAGAAAGCGATAAGCCGACGCAACCAGCCCTTTGTACTCTGACCGAATGGACTGGAGGGCGTGATCATGGGTCAACCAAACCGACACATTAGTTCTCCACCGAGCCAGAATGTGGTTCCGGACCACGATGTAGTTCGCTTGCTCGGTCCCACCTATAGTGGAGACCACGTTGGCTTCGATTTCTTCCTCCGTCAGAGAGTCCACTGGAAAGCCCACGGAGATTGCAATTAGTGCTTCGACGTCGCAGTCTTTCGCAACTTCAGATCGCCGGTTCCTAGAAAGCGACGTGTTTCCGATGAATTCAGTGAAGAACTTCTTCCGCCGCCTACGCTTCCTGGCCGGGGGTCCGGGCTCCGCCGGTGATGGTGCGCTTCGGTTACTATTTTGGAGCGTTTCTTCAACGGGATTTTCAGGGACGGGATCAGAAGAATCGTCGAGAGCCTCCGATGTCGTTTCTTTGGGCAAAGATTGGTCTTCTTCCGGTGAATTCTGGAGATCGAGAAGCGGGGTCTCAGAGGGGAGAGGGGATAGAACGATGTCATTTTCCGGCGAAGAGTCATCGGAAGCGTTCGGATTATCGAGTTGTTCTTGCGGAGTGTCCGTCGTCGAATCCATTGAGGCCTTTTGCCCTTCAGTTCCATGGTCCTCTCTCCGTTTTAAGTACGTTCTGTTCTCAACTTCTCGATAGCCGAATATCTCACTCAAAACTCGAACGCAAAAATAAAATAAATCAAAAAATTCAGAAAACTTTTCTTTTTGGTTGTTAAAAATACTAACTATTTGATCATAAAGTTTGTTATGGCCAACAATCAATAGAGTTGTAGCTCATCCTCCAACTTTATTTGAAAATTCAATTAATTTCTAAGATCCCGTTTGATAAGAAGCATTAAAAATTAGGCATAGACATAGAGACTGGGATTGAGAAAATCTATTAAAAAAATATTTAATATAAGAAATTGCTTGTTATATGATATTAGCCCATATATGTGGGATTGAGGAATACCTTTTTCATGGTATTCTGCAATCACACCTCTGAGTTTGCCTAATTCCACATAACAAGCAATTACTCATACTAAATACTATTTGAATGATTTTTTTCAATTGCAATCACAATCCTTGTTGCTCATTTTCAATGCTTTCTACCAAACAGGGCCTGAGTTTAAAGAATAACTTGAGTGCTAACAATTTTATTTTTTAAATGATTAAAGATTAAGTTATGTTAAGTCAAAACTACTGAGCCCAAATTATAAAACTAAGTTACAATGAGCTAAAATTTAGAGATCAAGTTTTAATTGAGACAAAATCACAACAAAATAATTAGTTTTTTTTATACCTCCTGACTGGCTTGAGTTTTACCAAATTAAAGTTATTACTTTCTTTTATAATTGAATGTGACATGATTAATTAAAAGAAAAATCATAGCCATGGCATTACGATTCAAAGAGATGAACTGGGAAGCTCATTTTCGGTTGAAGGAAAAAGAAAAGAAAAGTTAATTTTTGAAATATAATTTGTGCAGTAGTATTCCTTTTTCCACACTGTTTTGAGCTAGTTACTGTGCTCCATTTAACATGCAATCACTCTGATTAATCATTTAATCTATTACAATTGAAAAAAAGTATTGCTTATTAATTAAGTTTTTTTGGGGGGGGGTTAGCACCAAGCAAGTTTCTTCCAATGCATAATAAATGTTAATGTAAATTAAGTCCAAGTCTTTTTTAAGGAAATTCAAATTGGAAATCTATACTAAATAGAAAATTTATATTTAATGGGTTAACTAATTAAGAAAAATAATAGAAATAATAAGAGAAAACAAAAAACACTCAGTTTAGTATACACACATTGGAAAAATCTCCAAAAAATGATTGTTGAATTTTAAAATTTTAAGTCAGAAATTATTACAAAAATATGTTGTTATTTTACTTTTCGAGTGTAGTCATTTAATCTGACTATTTATTTTATATTTTAATTTTAATATTTTTAAGATGAGCACCTGTCTCCATATCTGAATCTAAAATATAAAACTTATAGCAATTTCTATTATTGTTTGAGTATAAATAATATAACTCATCATGAAATCCAACGTCTAATTATATCAAGTTGAAAAATATTCTATTCTATTTATGGCTTTCTATCAAGATTAAATTATATTAATACATTTACAAATGCTCATGCCAAAATGAAGTTAACCATTGTATTCAATGTTGTTTTGCCTTTTAAATCAATTAGTGTTACTTGCAAATTTGATCTTAATGGTAAATTCTTGAAGAGTTAGATCATGTTTGGTGAAAAAAAATATTTTAAAAAAATGTATAAAGAATCAAGATAATCAACACCTATATTTGGTAGACCGCTAGTAAATTTCTTCACTATTTTCATCTTGGAAATGAGCAACAAATTTTTCCCATAATAATGTAAGTGAAAATTAGCACTCCTATTTACCATGAAACGTTGACTAAAGTCATAGAGGGCCTTAATCGTGGAAAATCATTTCACAAATTTAATATCTCATACTTAAGTTGTCGTAACTCTTTATTAAGATGAAGCCCGGTCAATAGAAGACCATTATTTTTTGAAGAATTATTTTGATGCTTTCAGGAAAAAAGTTGATTATATGTGATCGCAACATTAATTTCTTTAATTTACAAGAGTTGATCTAATTGATAAGAGTCGACTCATAACTTATAAAATTATGAGTTTAAATTCTACTATCAATATGAAGACCTTGTTGATAGGTGATCTGTTTTTTTGAGTAAGAAAGCATGTAAACTTTAATAAACCCTTAAAACCCAACTCACCTAAGGTTTTTTATATAACAAATTAATTTTTTATTCCTCTTAATTTTAAATTTAATAATAAAAATATAAAATTCTAAAAAAAATAAAATAAAGCACGCTAATCATATTGTCAGATAATTTTGTATTACATGCATCTCCAAAGTAAACTTGTTACTAATCTATTATTAAGCGACGCAATTACAAACTAAGAAATGATGATTACTTTCCAGTTCCCACTTATCAGTCAGATATGTAGTGGTAGAGGAATACAATAACCTTTGATGTTCATTATCAGTCTGTGTGTTTGTGCTACATATATGCGCTCGTATTTATTTTATACATATACACAGTGAGATGGTGATAGATTTGTACAAAGATATGATTGTAATAAACTAGAAAAACGAGTTGCTGCTCAAAGCACCTCAGAATATGAAAGGGAAAATGATAAAAGATATAATAACATGTTCCACCTCTTGGTGAGAGAATCAGGGCATGCTATTGCTACTGGGGTACGAATTTCTGTGACTTTCTCAATCTTCTTGGCACTGCACAGTCTGCTCGCTCCCAACCAATCCTGTGGTTCACATTGTCGTATACAACCAGATATCCTCTCAATGAGACGTCTGCAAAAGTCAAACGCATAAAGACATTAGGCATAGGGGTATTCTAGTTTCTCAAGTATTACTTACAGTCTTTAATATAAAAACCAGATAACCAATTTACAGATATTAAAAAAATTAGTCTAGTCAGTTATTTATAACAAATTAATGTTGATTTTCCTAAATATCATTTCTAATCATGTACATGGGAATTACACTTGATGTAAACTTTCTTAATATGTACGATCGATAGGGGTATTTTAGAAAACAATTATAAATTTAGAAGATAAAGTGAATTAATGTTACCAAAGCAAATCTCTTGTCTAACTCCTATATTTAGGATCTGGAGTAGTTAGCAATCCATATGTATATTATTTGACTATAAGATATAAAATAAATCCATATGCATTAATTATCTTGAACATAGATAAGCTTTCATTTACCTCCAAGTATAATTGAGGATCCATCATGTACATCGGAGCCATCAAGTATAGCCAAGCATACATTCCCTTTGTTCTGCAGCATAGCAGTTTGTTGAAGGAACTAGCATTCACACTATGGTTGGAACTAAAATTGACATATACTTACGCTTATAATCAAATAACCCTCCGGCGGTATATGAAACAAAGCGGACAAAATCCACCATTTGCTTCCAAATTTAAGAGTCAGAGTCTTGAAGATGTGATTGACATCTTTGACGGATCTGCATGTATATATAACACAAAATATAAAGCAGACTGTCATTATGATTGATGTTGCTCTAAGGTGAGCAAAACTGAAGCAAAGAATATAATACCCATTTTTCTCTCGAGGTATTTTAAACAAAAGTTAAAGCAAGCATAGCGTTAGAAAAACAAAATAAAGAACTAATCTTGGACATTATGATGAAAATGGGACATGGCACTGGAATATGAAAAATCGGATGTGTCTAGCTGCAATCGAAGATTGCTTCATGTGTGAGCCAGTTCCTGAATAAATCAGATAAATACCTCATTGTTTCTTTTTATTTGGTTACAGGATTGATAGTTAAGCAGTTTATGAATATACCCCGTGTGTTTTGATATTTCAAATGGACATGGGATTGGGATATAGACGTTGGAGATTGATTAGTGCCTAGGATACATGTCTACAGGGAAAAAAAAATGCAGAAGTCAAGATCAAGATCAGAGAAACCATGTAGAAAGTAAGAAAGAGAACATATGAAGGAACAATGATTTAAAACAGAGTTCTGGCAAAAGAAATTAAAAATAAGACAGCTTGAAGCTAATCCAAAGGCGTGGTCCATCAGATGATTTCTCATACCTGACCACAAAATTAGCTCGCCAGCAAATAGGCAAAGTTGTATCTGAATCATCTTGGACAAGTCCAAGCTCAGAAACTTCTTTAAGCTGCACAAATACATGCATAACAATGAAATTCATCGAATTTAATGGAAGAAATTTTCATCGTTATCCAGATGGTATACAATATAGACAAAAAGAACTCACAGAAGCAACGAGATTCAGATACGCCTCCTTTGTAAAATATGTATAAGAACTGCCAGTATCAAAAACCACCTTTCCTACTTTGCTGGGTCCATTTAAACCAAGCAGGCTATTTCCATAACGTAATCCCAGAATCTCGCTTTGGTATAAATCTCTGTACAGAATATATTCCATGTAGAAGTCAAGACTATCAAAACAAGGAATCGCAAATACCTCAAATAAGATGGTAAGAAATGAAAATGCAGGTAGAGTGCACCACAAATGAAAACATGCAGAAAAATCAAGAAATAAACATTAATGTGGGGATTATGAAATGACATCAGAGGTCTCTACTCACGTGGTAAGGACATTGACCATGGGTGCCCAAGTCATACCCCAATATGGCACAAAATCGTCACCCAAGAACAAGTAGCCACCACCAGCTTCATGGTTACTTAGGCAATGGCCAACCACATTCTTAATAATCCCTTTGCTTGCCAACTGAAAAGGTAGACTGACTTTAGCCCTGCTGAGTCCCATGATTCCGTCTGTTTTTGCCAAAGTGTTTAAAAGTAAGCCCTCTTGATCATATCCACACCTTTGAATGGAAATGGTACAATCAGCACTTTTATGGAACACACATATCCAAAAAAAATGAGAGTCACAGAAATGTAAATACATACCCGAAAACTAAATTTAAATTGGCCTTGGACCCATTTGTTGTGACAAGATGAAGATAATCTCTAACGAGAACCCCCATGGAGGAGCTATGATCTGCATATTCAATCTCATAGTCACACTGTTGG